CGGTGTCGCTGTGGTGAAGATGGCGGGGGCTGAGGCTGAGCCGCCTCGCCCGGAAGGCGGGTGTGAGTCACGGCCGGGGCGGGGGAGCGGCCTCCCCGCCCCAGGGCGGGGCCCGGGGGGAGTCCGGGGCCTCCGGTGCCGCGGGGCTGCTTTGGGAAGGGGGTGTGTGAGGGGGATTCTGGGGGCTCCAGTGCGCGGGGGTTGGGTGCTGAGGTGCCGCAGTGCTGCCCTGCGGGAGGGTCTTGGGGCCCCAGTGCTGCCCAGTGGGGCGGGGATCGGAAAGGGCTCTGGGGGCCCCGGTGCTGCGCTGTGGGGGTGTAGAGGAGGCTGTCTGGGTGAAAGGGGACTCTGGTAAAAGGCAGTGTAAGGAATCTGTTACACAGCGGACCGTGCTTCAAAAAGAGGGTTAGTTACTCAAGTTATAGAAAACTGGTAAAAAATATAGTCTTTTAAAAAATAAAAGTTCTAATTGGTCTTTACCTAGTGCGAAACAGCAACATTAATCCCTTTATTTAGTATTTACTAGAGGCTTTACTGAAATAGCTGTAGCTGAAATACCTGTATGTCTTGCAGGTCAACATGCAGATCTTTGTGAAGACCCTGACTGGCAAGACCATCACTCTTGAGGTTGAGCCCAGTGACACTATTGAAAATGTCAAGGCCAAGATCCAGGACAAGGAGGGCATTCCTCCTGATCAGCAGAGGCTGATTTTCGCTGGCAAGCAGCTGGAAGATGGTCGCACCCTGTCTGACTACAACATCCAGAAAGAATCCACCCTCCACCTTGTGCTGCGCCTCAGAGGTGGGATGCAGATCTTTGTGAAAACCCTGACTGGCAAGACCATCACCCTTGAGGTTGAACCCAGTGACACCATCGAGAATGTCAAGGCCAAGATCCAGGACAAGGAAGGCATTCCCCCAGACCAGCAGAGGCTGATCTTTGCCGGGAAGCAGCTGGAGGATGGTCGCACCCTGTCCGACTACAACATCCAGAAGGAGTCAACTCTGCATCTTGTCCTGCGTCTGAGAGGTGGGATGCAGATCTTTGTGAAGACCCTGACCGGCAAGACTATCACTCTCGAGGTGGAGCCCAGTGACACCATTGAGAACGTCAAGGCCAAGATCCAGGACAAGGAGGGCATTCCCCCAGACCAGCAGAGGCTGATCTTTGCCGGGAAGCAGCTGGAAGATGGTCGCACCCTGTCCGACTACAACATCCAGAAAGAATCCACCCTCCACCTTGTGCTGCGCCTCAGGGGTGGGATGCAGATTTTCGTGAAGACCCTGACTGGCAAGACCATCACCCTGGAAGTTGAGCCCAGTGACACCATCGAGAATGTGAAGGCCAAGATCCAGGACAAGGAAGGCATTCCTCCTGACCAGCAGAGGCTGATCTTTGCTGGCAAGCAACTGGAAGATGGTCGCACTCTCTCTGACTACAACATCCAGAAGGAGTCAACTCTGCATCTTGTCTTGCGTCTGAGAGGTGGGATGCAGATCTTTGTGAAGACCCTGACCGGTAAGACCATTACCCTTGAGGTTGAACCCAGTGACACCATCGAGAATGTCAAGGCCAAGATCCAGGACAAGGAAGGCATTCCCCCAGACCAGCAGAGGCTGATCTTTGCCGGGAAGCAGCTGGAAGATGGTCGCACCCTGTCCGACTACAACATCCAGAAAGAATCCACCCTCCACCTTGTGCTGCGCCTCAGGGGTGGGATGCAGATCTTTGTGAAGACCCTGACCGGTAAGACCATCACCCTGGAAGTTGAGCCCAGTGACACCATTGAGAACGTCAAGG